TGTTTTCATCTCTTTTCTTGATCGGTCAGTTTTTTGTTCAAACCAGCAACAATTGAGTTCAAATTTTTGTGAAAACTTCAATGGAAATCGATCCGAAAATCTTTTATCTACAGTAAAAACTCCATCGGTTGCATGCTTGCGGAGTTTTCGTTGTGATATATTTGTAGAAAAAAATGAATAGCATATGCTAATGATTGCTCAAGTATTTGTTGAAATTTTGTTTAAAAAAATCTGATTATTTATAAAACGTCGACTAATTGAAATGTTGTACCTAGTTGTCATTTTAAAGTTTTCCCTGTTTAACTATTATAAAAGTGTTCATAGAGTAGTGCATTATTAAGCAACTATGGTGGGTTGATTTATTAAGAATAATAGTTTTCTACTGTTTTTTTGACAATTTCAGTAAAAAAAAATTGATAACTGACCTGAAAAACATGAAAAAATGTATGTTTGTACTAACCTTTGAAAATTTCAAGATAATATTAATCATCAATCTCAACCCAAAATTTACTTTATCATAGAAAATCAGATTTGAAACAGCAATATCAAATTATCAAGTTGAGAAAATCATTTAAATACGTTTAGCAAATGATTCATGCTTTTAATTCAGCTTCGGATTAATGAAAGTTCGTTGAAACGATACATTTTTCCATTAAAAGTTCAATTTTCAACTAAAATTTTGTTCAAATTGAATTTTTTTGATAGATAGAAGATGAAACAAAAACTGAGAAAATGAGATAGAAACTCAATTTTATTCATTAATAGTTTTGAAATAATTTACAAAAAATTTAGCTTATAAACCATATTTTGAGAAAAAATCCGACATAAAATGTGTCAAAGATTTGTATTTATGTGTAATTCATTAGAAAAGTTTAATATCGTTTGATATAAAAGGTAACATTTTATGAAAAATCAGATGTTTTGAGGATAGTTTTTGTAAAGTAAACTCAATCCGACATCTTTTGAAAGAAAATACATGAAGCATAAATCAAAAAATTGCTTTCAAGATCTACATTTCAGTTTTTTTGCTTAATAAAAATCCAAAAATTACACAATTGTTCCAGTTTGCACCTTCATTTCCTTTGCTAAATCAAATTTTTGAGACGCACTCTTTTAGAAGTTTTTAGATATTGTAGATGTTAGGAACTAAGTTCCCTTGCGTTTTTCCGGATGCTTTCAGATCATAACTAATAGAGCTGCTCCTAATTTGTTCTTAAATTGTAAAAATACTTTCATATTCTTTTTAAATGTTTTTGAATGTTTTAACCAGCACCGATTCTTTCTCACTTGGATATTTTTGAGAAAGCTTCCCTCATAAATTAAGAATAAAAAGCTATTTAATAATTATTTTGCAAGAAAAGTGATAGTTATTGGCCCAAAAATTGTATTGTTGCTTAAATAGTTTACTGCAGCAACTGAACAAGGGAACCTTGTAGAAGACATTTACAATTTTCATCGTAATATTCAGACGGTATCAGTACTAATTTCATCTTTGCCAGCAAATTGTTCGTTCAATTGATACTATTTTCCTCCTAAATTCTCCAGTTCTGACTAAATTTTCTTGCAAAGTGTGTTCAATACCGAAAACATGTAATAAGCAGAAAGTAAGAATAATCTTTAAACATAGAACATTTCTACGGAAAATCGTGAAAATTATGTTGCAGAAGCAACAGAGATTTAATCATCCGTTATGAAGAAGATTTTAATGAATTTGAGCGAATATCGAATAAATTTTTCAGAAAAGTTTATCTCATTTTCAATCAGTTTTAGCAATTAACTGTTCATTTTCCATCATTGATCTGAAATTTTGCAAAAACCTTGACTTTTTTAAAATTCCAGTAGGTTTCAGCACAGTTTCAGGTAGATAGAAAATAAGATTATCCATAAAATAGATCGAATTACATCAAAACTTATCGTTTTTATGAAAAATTTTGAGTTTTTGGGACAAAAACTCCAAGTTTTTGCTCAAAAACTCTTATCATTGACTTACCATGTACCAAAAAACTAAATAGATAACCTCAATTTTTTAATCTACACCTAATTAACTAGTAATAATTATCAATTAGATAACGCGCGCCGGAATTTTTGCAAAAAAACTAGACATTTACGCACAAAAACCAAAAAATTCGTTTTTTTACCATCACACTGAAACCTTACCATCGTAATACATTGGGAAACTTATTCCCTATCTTAATACATTGGGAAATCTAAAGCCTATGTTAATACATAGGTTGCTGACCGGATACTCTATAGCCTATGTTAAAACATGGAGGTCAGCACCCACGCCCCCCCCCCCCCTGATCGCCTCACACATATACTACTAACGTGTTAGGGATTTTACTACGTTGATTACTCTTAACCATTTACCTGTCTAGTAAAAAAGAACTGCGACAATCAAACGAACAAAAAAATTGCCATTTAGTCAACCTTGTCCAAACAGCTTATGTCTGCAACATTAAAAAAAACTCAAACATAGATCTAACAACTTAATTAACAACTTGCCTTCTTTTCATTTTAACCTGAACAATCGAGTTTTCAATTTTTTCCCAGTAAGACCAATTAAAAACATCGGAAATTTTCCAATTAAATACTTCTAATAGTAACTGTTTGTGAATGGTCACTCACAATCAAACCACTAAAACGTCTCGAACTAAATAAAATCAGCAGCTAAACTACAAGCTCAGAAATGAAACGCTTCGGATCTGATTCCTGGTCTCATTGAGATTGCAGGTAACCTGAACCGTTCATAGATATGTGAAGATGATTTTCCTCTATATTGACCAGTGTTTCTCTTTGCAAAAACTACAGCAACTGCTTGAATTGATTTTGTAGCTTAGTTTCTAAACATGACAAGAAGGCCCGTTTTATGATCAGACGGTGGCCTCCAAATTTTGGTATTTCCAGACTGCCGCGACTAAAAATGGACATTTTCAGACCGCCGCGACCAAGTTTTGGTATTTCCAGACTGCCGCGACTAAAAATGGACATTTTCAGACCGCCGCGACCAAATTTTGGTATTTCCTGACTGGCGCGACTAAAAATTGACATTTTGAGACCGCCTCGACCAAAATTTGGTATTTCCAGACATTACGGACCGAGGCAATGCGTCCGCGACCGGCGCGACTGTAGGAATGTTAACTGCGACCGGGACGACCGAAGGAAAGTTGGTCGCGGTGGTCAAAAAAATTATTCGCGGTGGTCGAAAATTTAGTTTGACCGCTTAGACTAATTTTTTGCCCAGGCCGCGACTAATTTCTTAACCGCCGCGAGTAATTTTTCGACCGCCACATATAATTTTTCGAGCGCTGCTACTAATTTTTTGCCCTTGCCGCGACTAATTTTTTGACCGCTGCGACCGAGATACGATATTTCCAGAATTTGTCCGCGACTTAAAACCCTGTCCAGACTATGGGTTTTCGGTCGCGGAATTGACATGTCCGAAAAAGTCGAAAAATTAGTCGCAGACCTCGAACCGGTGGCTCGTATATCAGGGTGAGGCCCTGAATGTTCCGACTGAATGTTTCGAATAGTTGACAAAATTATTGAAAAAAAAATGAAATCAGGTCGTCGCTTTGTTTTTTGTAATGATTCAGTAGAAACTCCCGTAAGCAGTAAGTTCGAGATCGTCAAGATCTTTATTTTTTTTTGCAATATTTTCATTACTCCAATTTTGGCTGTAAACAATGCTAGTTCATTGCTACAGTTTTTGCTTTAATGTTATTGACAATTTGATAAATCATAGATGCCGATTGCTCTGTATTTGCTAATTTTCAGATGCAATATTTCATGAGAGATCAACTCGATCTTTTACCATGGGTACACTTGTGAAAATGCACCTACTACACCATTTAATAACCAGTTAAAAGCCTGTTTTTTCTTTTTTTGTTGTTCCGAATTTCGATACGAAAGTAATTGTTCCGACTTTCGATACGAAAGTAACGGAATATTTGTGCTCGGGGTGGGTTTTTTTTTCTCCAGACAAATTTCGACTTTTCAACTAGCCATTTTTGACGGAACTTTTTTTATCATTCGAAATGTCCTGAGCTCAAAATTGAAAAGATATTTCCCCTGTGATCTTTTTTCGTAAAATTACAGGGGTTTAAAGATGGCCATTTTGGTCAATTTGGGACAATTAAAGCGCGATATATTTCGCACTATAACGCGTAAGCGGAGAGTTAATCCGTCTTAGAAATTGTTCCAAATTGGTTGAAAGAAGCTTATTTGCCATAATTGATTTGTTACAAGGAGCGAAATCTATTCTTTGGTTTTTTATATGGCGTGTGGGGGATGGTTTTCATAAAAAAAATCAAATTTTAGAAAAAAAAATTCATTTATTTTTCATTTAATTTTTTAATGTTATTACTGCTCCAAAAACCTTAAAAGGCAGTCGGAACATTCAGGGCTTTGCCCTGATACGAGCAGTCTTGTTCAATTTGTAAGACACTGAAACATGAAAAGACAGCAGTTTTCTTTTGCTTTTCAATTTTTAATCTATTCTATATCAGAAACATACAACTTTCAGCATTTCAACTAATTTTTTTGACTGATAAAGGGCAGTCGGAGCCTTCAGGGCTTTTCCTGATACGAGCAGTCTTGTCGTTAGAAAACACAATCAGATCAAAATTTCATGATTGTTTTCTAAATTAGTCCTTTTCAAAATTGTAAACAGCCACTTGTGATGTATACAAGCAAAAGATTACACAAGACAACAGAAAACACAAGAAAAGCAAAAGATTACACAAGAAAACATGTAAACAACACATCTGGTAAGAGTTATATGCTCATCAATGACATCATGACAAAAAATAGTCGAATTGTTGCTTGTTTTTTGGTATAGTAGAAGTATTTTATCATCGTAACCAAAAACATTTCTAATTAAACAGTGAATGAACTGTCAAAAAGATTAACCCGAGGTATAAAATCATGAAAAATGCTTTTATTGCATTATCGTTGTCATAATACTTTTTGTTACAATTAAAAAGTTGATATTATAAATATGAATCTTTCTAACAATAATAGCCAAATATACACTCTTTCTTAGCAACAGCCATATTTGATGAGAAAGCGCGCTTCTCATACTTTTGTATATAAAACAAAAACATTGGCGTAGATTTTACAAACAGCCAACTTACCTTTAGAAACAGCAGAGTTCTTTCCGCCGAATTGTAATTTCAAAAATCGTTTACCAACCTTCAAAATGGCTGGAAAAGGTAAGCTGGATTAGCTATGGGTCTCTTTTTCCTGTTCCCGTCGACTAATCGTTTCGGCTTTCGTAACGAAAGTGACGGAATATTTGTGCTCGGGTTGGTTTTTTCTTCAGACAATTTTTGACTCCAGGCTTCACAATCTTGTTTTCATATAGTTCTTGTTCACGTTCAATGAAAATTGACCTACTGCATAAATTTCGGACACCGTTGGCCTGTAATTTTGTGAAATCACATGTATTTCACCAAACGACTTTCGCATCTATACTTTCCAATGGACTATATATCTCCAGAATCCATTTTCCTATTGCTTGGAAATTAGGGTTAATAGTCTGGAGTTTGTTCTGTAAATCAAAGAGCTCATAAGATTTGTTTTGGTGCGAGGTGCTGGTACTGGCACAAAATATACCAAAACTCTAACCTTCCCATCAACTCTAACCTTTCCTTTAGAGCCGCCGCAGATACACCAGACTATGAATTCGTATGCTTCTCTTTGGTGGAGAAGCATCTATTAACTTTTGTTTGATCCATGATTCGTTTCCTGTTATTTTCACATGTATCAAATAAGCTTCCTCTTTCAATTTTTTGGACCTTTTTTCTGTTATCCTCGTCCTCTAATATTAATAACTTTTTGAACAGTAGCATGTTGAGAAGATTTTTTGTGAGAAGAAATCAAACAAATATTTTTCCCCGAGGCTTCATCAATTGGTACCATTGTGGTCCACCAACGCTATTTCTGTTGGTCCACAAATCAGGCTTCGGTGTCTATATACACGAAATTCAAAGTGAAAGAGTGACAAAAACTTTTTTTGTTGATAAAAACCTTCTGAAAAAGCCCTTCAACTTCTTAATTTCTAGCATAATTTCAAGCCGTTTATAAAAGCTGGCTTAATCATTTTTACTGTCCTGAAAATAGATTTCGTGATTTCTAAAATATTCCCCCTTCCGCTCAAAGATTTCCTGCGCATGCCATGATTCTATATTTATTTCATTATAAAATTTTTTTTTCATAGAAAATCATGATTAAAGCTAAAATCGTTGTCATGAAATAGCGGCAAAGGGGACCCCCCTTGCCAGGTTTGAGAGCCAAATTTTTAATTGCCCCTTTAATTCAATCTATATTTTTGTCCGGGTGAGTACGAGGAAGTTGGTTTTCTAAATTGCAAGATGCCGTGAAAATGGTAGACACTTCCTTCATTATGCGATTTTGCGAAAGCGCAAGCAGCCAAAAATCCATTATTGAAAATCGATGCTTCCATTTAAAAAAGCTTTAATAAGTCTAGGGACTTTCATAAATTCGCTTTTTCTAATTAGCTTGCCAGTTTCAGCACCTGCGCGCGTTAAAGAATACACTGTGCCAGGCGGGAGAGTCAAAGTTGAAGAGTATGATGACGGATCAACGAGAAAAACTTCTACATACACTTCTGGGGATGTGAACAACGTGCATCATGTTCAAGAGCACACTGTAACTCGACGATTTGACCTCGGAGACGCTTCGTATGTCCCTTCTTTGAGGGCTGCAGGACCTAGTTCCGTCCCACCTGATTTCGACCTTTCGGAGTTCACTCAACTACCTGTGGTAATTAAGATGCGCAATGCTTCACCGGCAGAAAAGGATGACAAAAAATATATTACTGGAAAGGAAGCCAGGCCTGCTATCAAGCCTGTTCCTGCGAAACCTGCTGCCGTTCAAAAGTTGAAACACTCGGAGAACAGCAATATTATGATCAGCTACTGCCATAAGCAGAAACATGTGTCGCAGAAACTTCTGAAAGAACTGAGAAACAGTGGGGTCGAAAATATCTGGATAGATCAGGAACACATGCATAAGGGCGGTGGAATTCTGGATGAGATGGTAAAAGCTGTGGATTCTTCCCAGTATGTTATTTGTTGCATTTCGCGCGATTACTCCAAGAGTGATAATTGCATGGGTGAAATGAAATATGCGAGAGATAAGAAGAAAACCATCATTCCAGTCGTGGCTGAGAAAGGATACGTACCGGACCAAATCCTACTCATGTGCATCGGAGACAAATACCGATTCGATTTATCAACTGATGAACAGTTTCGCGTCAACTTTCCACTACTGCTGGAAAAATTGACTGACTAATGACTTTGCAGCAGAGCAAACGGATATATCAGCCTGCACCCCTTCTGAACAGAGAAAACTTAAATCAAATACATAATCAATTTCCATGCTAACTAGATTTCGCATGCTAATATTTGGTGATTACCTTTTTTGTACAACATCAAAAACTAACCTTAAATGACAAAATGTTTTTTTTTAATTGTTCCGAAAAGCAGCCAAGAGTGGAAATAACAACACAGGTTTGCATTTGCTTTTCAGTCAAGCTTAGGCACTTCAAACAACAAACCCGTGCAATATAAAACAAGGTTGCAGTGTAAGTACCCTAAGTATTTATAGTAAGCCTTTGCTGAGGTGATTCAAAACAAAAAAAAACTCAATTTTAGGTTACTTAAGCTACACATACTTCTATTTTGAGGCAAATTTTTACAAAAACCTTGCTTTAAATTTAAGGAAGATCACCAGGGGCGGATCTAGGATTTTCTCGAGGGGGGGGGGGGGGGGGGGCGGTATATCAAAAATTCGGACGACTTTGTTTTCGATCGACTAAATTGGTATTCTCAGCTCTCCCAAAGCTCTAAAAAACCCTGTTTTTGGCAAAATTTTTTGCACCGCAGGCAAAATTATGAAAAAAACCCAATTTAGGCAACTTTTTGCACTTTTTGGAATTTTTACCAAACAAATTGCGTTTTTTCAGCGCGCGCTCTCCCTTCAAAATTTTTAAGTTCCGTCACCAAAATAGATTTCCCAGAATAGTAAAAAGGGGGTCCTTTGTACTATTGCCCCTTTAAATTTGTAATTGCCCCATTAAATCAATCTAGTTTTTTATCAGGGTGAGTTCGAGGAAGTTGGTCTTCTAAATTTCAAGATGCCGTGAAAATGGTAGACACTTCCTTCATTATGCGCTTTTGCGAAAGCGCAAGCAGACAGAAACCCATTATTGAAAATCGATACTTCAATTTAAAAAAATTAGTAAGTCCAAGGACTTTCAATAACTCATTTTTCTAATTAGCTTGCAATTTTCAGCACCTGCGCGCGTTAAGGAATACACTGGGCCAGGCGGATGAGTCAAAGTTGAAAAGTATGATGACGGATCAACGAGAAAAACTTCTACATACACTTCTGGATTCGTGAAAAAGATACATCATGTACAAGAGCACACTCTAACTCGACTATTTAACCTCGGAGAAATTTTGGACGCCCCTTCTTTGAGACCCTCCTTGAGGGCTGAAGGACCTAGTTCCGTCCCGCCTGACGTCGACCTTTCGGAGCTCACTCAACTACCTAAGGTGTTTAAGATGCTCAATGCTTCACAAACAGAAAAGGATAACAAAAAGTCTTTACCTGGAAACGAAACCAGGCCTGCCATCAAGGCTGTTCCTGCGAAACCTGCTTCCGTTCAAAAGATGAAATACTCGGAGAACAGCAATATTATGAACAGCTACTGCCATAAGCAGAAACATGTGTCGCAGAAACTTCTGAAAGAACAGAGAAACAGTGGAGTCGAAAATATCTGGATAGATCAGGAACACATGCATAAGGGTGGTGGAATTCTGGATGAGATGGTAAAAGCTGTGGATTCTTCCCAGTATGTCATTTGTTGAATTTCGCGCGATTACTCCAAGAGTGGTAATTGCATGGGTGAAATGAAGTATGCGAGAGATAAGAAGAAAACCATCATTCCAGTCGTGGCTGAGTAAGGACACGTACCGGACCAAATCCTACTCATGTGTATCGGAGACAAATTCCGATTCGATTTATCAACTGATGAACAGTTTCGCTTCAAATATCCACTACTGCTGGAAAAGCTGACAGACAAATGACCTTGCAGCAGAGCAAACGGATATATCAGCCTGCACCCCTTCTGAACAGAGAAAATTTAAATCAATTACATAATCAATTTCCATGCTAACTAGATTTCGCATGCTAATATTCAGTGATTACCTTTTTTTTGCACAACATCAAAAACTAACCTTAATTGACAAAATATTTTTTTAATTGTTCCGTAATTAAAAAGTAGAATGGAAAAAACAACACAGGTTTGCATTTGCTTTTCACTCAAGCTTAGGCACTTCAAACACTAAGCCCGTGCAATAAAAAACAAAGGGTGCAGTTAAAGTACCTTAAGTATTTATAGTAAGCCTTTGCTGAGGTGATTCAAAATTAAAAAAACTCAATTTTAAGTTGCTCAAGCTACACCTACTTTTATTTTGAGGCACATTTTTACAAAAACCTTGCTTTAAATTTAAGGAAGTTCACCAAGGGCGGATCTAGGATTTTCTCGAGAGGGGGGTATTTCAAAAATTCTGACGACCTTTGTTTTCGATCGACCAAATTGGTATTCCCAGCCCTCCCAAGCACTAAAATGCTTTGGTTTTTCCCAAATTGTCCGCACCGCAGGCAAAATTTTAAAAAGAGGCCAAAATAGGCAATTTTTTGCATTTTTTTAAGTTTTACCAAAAAAATTTCGTTTTTTTTTCAGCGCGCGCTCTCCCCTCAAATTTTTTTAGTTCCGTCACCAAAAATGATTTCTCAAAATAGTACAAGTGGGGACCTCTGGGTCGGCAGGGGGTCGAATCCCTGAGGGAAGGAGCGTCCCCCCTATCTTTTCCTGAAGATCAAGAAGTTTCAAGATAATGTTGAATGAGTTAAAGTAATAGTTGAATTGGCTTATAATTTTCTAGTAATGCTTTATCTAACTTAATTCATCTCGCTTTTTAAGATAAATCGCTCGCTGAATTTCTTTGCTTACCGAGAAGTGAACAGTTGTAAATATCAAAACAACCTGGTACTTTGAAAGTTTAGGTTAACTAGAGTAATATAAAAACATTGTAACTTATAAAAGTAAATTTTGTAGAATGTAAGATATTAAGGTGGGAGCGCCAAATTTGTGTTGACAATTCAGTTAAAGATTTATCAATTAAAACGGTAATCACGCCAAAAAAGAGCGTCGCAAATTTCTTCATTAGATTTGAAAAACAATTTTTTTCAGTCTACTTTTGAAAACATGTTGACTTTAATTAATATCCCAAATATGTGACGGTAGTCAGTTGCAGTTTACAGAAAATATATAGAAAAAAGATTTACTGAAAAAAAAACATGAATTTTTTCCCTGGTGGACAATAATGTTAAATATTAAATTAAGTCAATATTTAACTGTTGGTAAGAACAGGTGATGTTTGAAAGTTTCTCCTTCACTTTTGATGTACTGAACCAAAAATATAATGACTTGTGTTTCAAAGTATTTCGAACACTGACTATACCTTGTTTAGTTTGAGTTCTTTGGGCGACTCGAGTTTCCAACGAAAAAATACTTGTTTTTAGGCCCAATTCATCTGTTTTTCTAAGGATAATAATAAAGCATTGCACATATGTTGAACAAATAGAGATGAACAATCCAAACGGATCAAGACAAGAGTTTGGAGAACCATGCTTCAGGTTTCAGTCGATAGCTGCTTTTTAGTACTGTCGGTAGCTGGTTCTAATTGCTATAGCCATGTTTTCAATAATAGTTTTAACCGTTATTTCTCCGAGCTAATTCTCTTACATTACCTCCATCTTGAATGTCGATATTGTAGATAAAGATGTTTTTGTCTACTACATCTTCCACTTTTTACAGAATATACATAGAAAATCCACAAAATTGTTTCGGATCACAACCCTTCAAAAAACTCATCAACTTCAAGCTATCTTCTCAAACTTACATCAAAATAAAAAAGTTGACTATCTTCTCAAAATTAACAATTTCTCATTGATTATATACAAAAACTTCAACTGCAATTGACATGTCTAGAAAACTTGCAGAGATGCTATAAGTTATAATTTTTTTCTTGTTTTTTTTTATATCGGCGATATTTCGTATTGTTACGGCAAACAACTTGCGGTAATTATTTTTTGCAATTTCCCTCTATTGTTTTTTTCACTCATTTTGACAAATTAGGCGGTTAAAACATAATTTTGTTCACTGATTGGATACGACAATCAGAACTAAAAAGAACGTTTTTTTGAGATCGGAAACGACAATGTTAAAAAAGTTTCTAAAATAGTTCTTTTTTTTCTGATTTGATACAATTTTTATATCTTATTTCATCAGACGAAGCTGAAATCTGAGTTAAGCTAACTCTAGACCAAAAAAAAGAAAATCAATTTCAATTGATTATTCTCACACAATCGAGTTGAAGGTACCCGTTTCTCTAAACTAAAAATCAATTTATTTTCAATTTAACTACCGTCAACTGCCTCCTCTCTCAGCACTGAACTTTTGAATTTCAATTTAATTACCGTCAATTACCTCGTCTCAGCTCTAAATCAGTCATTGTTCTTGTTTTTACTTTGTATCCTTTACTCAATTGATTAGTTGACTTAAATTAATATCCCAAATATGTGACGGTAGTGAGTTGCAGTTTACAGAAAATATATAGAAAAAAGAATTACTGAAAAAAAACATGAATTTTTTCCCTGGTGGACAATAATGTTAAATTTTAAATTAAGTCAAAATTTAACTGTTGGTAAGAACAGGTTATGTTTGAAAAATTCACCTTCACTTTTGATGTACTGAACCAAAAAAATAACGACTTGTGTTTCAAAGTATTTCTGACACTGACTATACCTCTGTTTAGTTTCAGCTCTTTGGGCGACTCGGGTTTCCAACGAAAAAATACTTGTTTTTAGGCCCAATTCATCTGTTTTTCTAAGGATAATAATAAAGCATTGCAGATATGTTGAACAAATAGAGATGAACAATCCAAACGGATCAAGACAAGAGTTTGGAGAAGCATGCTTCAGGTTTCAGTCGATAGCTGCTTTTTAGTACTGTCGGTAGCTGGTTCTAATTGCTATAGCCATGTTTTTAATAATAGTTTTTACCGTTATTTCTCCGAGCTAATTCTCTTACATTACCTCCATCTTGAATGTCGATATTGTAGATAAAGATGTTTTTGTCTACTACATCTTCCATTATTCACAGAATATACATAGAAAATCCACAAAATTGTTTCGGATCACAACCCTTCAAAAAACTCATCAACTTCAAGCTATCTTCTCAAACTTACATCAAAATAAAAAAATTGACTATCTTCTCAAAATTAACAATTTCTCATTGATTATATACAAAAACGTCAACTGCAATTGACATGTCTAGAAAACTTGCAGAGATGCTAAATGTTATAATTTTTTTCTTGTTTTTTTTTATATCGGCTATAT